CTTATCTGATGTACAAGGGAGAGGTGGGGTTTGCAGTTTACATTTCGGGGCTTAAAGTTTTGTACTATTTTATTTCAGAAATATTTTGTTTCTGTATTAGTTATTATGAATGGAAATGAATTCTTGACTTGAAGCTTAAGATTTGGTAACCATGACTAAATAATTTTTCATCTTGTGTGTGTGTGTGTATATGTTTGTGGTCCAACCCAATCTGTTTTGGCCCCATAATTTATAGTGTTATTAATTTGCGGAGGTGCTAATTGATTTTATACTTACCTTAAGGTTTAGATTTTCCTCAAAGAACCAACAACTCTCCATACAACAAAGTCGGAGAAACGAGAGATTCCGGCTGGAAGACTCTCTAGCCGTGCTATTCCAGATGAGGCCGGTGGATCTGAGTCGGCATCACTGGGAAACCTGCTAGCAATGCAGAAGCTCCTGCCTCAGCCCAGGGCCTGTGTTTTATCTAGGTCGCCTGGTGATTTTAACGCTGCCTCTTGACAAGTACCAGTCAAAGACATACCATTTTCTTTTTAACTTCCATCGAGCAGTTGAATAGCTTTTCATTTTTCAATCATTGAACCTATGAACGTACCTTTATTGAGAGAGTATCGTGACCCAAGCCCTGTGCCAGGTGGTGGGGATATAAAGATATTAAATCAAGAGTGGGCTCTACTTATAAGAAGCTTCGGTTCTAAGTAGGAGAAAGTGACTGCCACACATAAAAGCAATCAAATAGTAGAGGCACTATGATAGCACTGGATAGGAGGCATGAAAGGGGATTGCTGTCTACGTCTCTGGGTCTGTGTGTAGGTTTCACAGCAGCGGTTCTGACCCTTTCATAGGGGTCGCCTAAGACCATCCTGCATATCAGATATTTACATTATGATTCATAACAGTAGCAAAATTACAGTTATGAAGTAGCAAAGAAAATAATTTTATGGTTGGGGGTCACCACAACGTGAGGAACTGCATTAAAGGGTCGCAGCATTAGGAAGGTTGAGAACCACTGTTTCACAGCGTTTGAATGAAGAAGAAAGAAAGCGTTGGCTTTCTTTTTCTCCCTCTCTCCCTCCCTTTCTTCCTTGAAAATGAATTTAAACTTCACTGTTGGTCTGAGTTTAATTGCTGCATTTTCCAATCTTATCAACTATAGCCAGTATTTCACCTCCTTTGCAGGTATATTCCTGTTACTTTTTCCCTCTGGTGAAGCCTTTTCTTTCATGCAAGGGTATGCAAGTTCTGCGCTGGGGCTGATACCTTTCCTGGCTGCTGGACACATGTGTCAGGGTGACTATATTTGATCATAACCCAACTGGTACCAGTTACCCACACCTGCTTCTCAGTGCCACGGTCTTCTTACCCCTTCGTAGGAAAGGAAAGCTTGAGAGAACAGGATGCATCGCTGGGTTTTCTAGAGTTTCTCCTCAACACCTTTTCAGTTAACAATGTACACAATAGAGTATTTTTTGAAGTAAATTGGCAGAGAGCAGTGTTTGAGAATACATGATGTAATACTTTGTTTGCCCAACTTATCCTTTAGCACCTCATGGTGCTACCTCTGGCATAAAGCAAAATCCTTTTGAACATTGGCTGAGTCATTTGGGTTGATATGGACCAAAGTCAGTGAGATCCTTCTTAACGTCTCTCCAAGGTGAAGTGAGAACTTCCTTTTACTTCCTTGGATTCTGTTACATCGTGGAGAATTGTCAGGACATCCGACAGACTGGTTCACTCCATTCCCCCATCCCCTCACCTGCTAAAGCCAGTGAAAAATGCTAAATCTAAAGCTAAATTCTCCACAAGAAAAGTCATGTGGGGGTGTGTGTGTGTGCATTTGCCTGATTTTTCCCAATACTCATGAAGATGACAGGGTTGGGAGTTGAACTGGTATTCCCCTGAGAGGACAGGGTCGTGGTGAGGTCTGCACCTTAGCCTTGCCGGCTGGCGGGACTGCCTCTCATTCCTCTGGGTGCTTTTCTCCAGCACGGTCACCACCTAAGCAGTTAAGCTTTGTGCTGTTTCATTATTTTTAAAAATGTACTGTAATGCAAGGGATCTCCTTCTCCCTTACCCCCTCATACATATATACATGTTTTGTTATTTTCCCATCTTCCTTAAATATGGAAATTCTGCCTTATCTCTTAAGCTAAGCTTATTCTTTACAACTTTGAAGCATCTTCTTGTTTACTCTCATATTAAAATGATGTAGTGTAAGTCAGAATTCTTATAACTTTTAGTCTGATTTAGGGTAGTTGGTAAGAGTTTTTCCTTCCAATTCTCCCGATTAGTTTATGCTTAACTCCAAAGAGGCCTATTTTCTCTCCCTTTCACACTTGTATCTGTTTTCGAGACAATTACCCATTCCTCTACCTCTTTTGAAAATGTGAGCTTCTCTCTAAAGAATGCAGTACGAAGTCTTTAATGGCTGTGCTTGAAAAACTAAAAACTTTGTTCTGGTGCAGTAGTTGATCTAAAGAAAGCAGATTATTATTATTCGTTTGTCATGAAGGCTTTTAAAAATCTTCCTAATTTTGCCTAGAATATATAGTCTATGTTGTTTTCAAAGAATACATCTCATTTTTTTTTTCCTGTTCCTTTTTATACCATGAGGGTTATCATCACAGCATGTTTTGCTATGTTTACGTTCCACTCGAGAAACTGGGTAGAGAAGGATATCCTTGGAAAGGACAGAAAGTCATACATTTTATTTTAAGATTAATTATCTGGGACATTTTGGAACCTCCATGTGGCTTTAGTGGGCCTGTTCGATAATATGATCTCCAAGAGTTTGTTCAGTTCTGATTCTGTCGGATGTCCTGACAATTCTCTACGATGTAACAGAATCCAAGGAAGTAAAAGAGAGTGCTCAGAAATATATTTTTAGAATGGGTCTGATGAAGACCCAGGTCCAGATGTGCTTAAAGCATGAAAATTAGCCATGAACTTGAGTCTGGTCGTTGTGTCTTCAGCAGCCTAACCCCCCTTTGCCTTATGGCTTAGGGGGTCATTGTGAGCATGCGTCTCATACTTACACCTTTGAAAAGCAGGAAAGAACTGGGTGACACTTCTCTTAACAGGTATTAAATATTTGTTCTTGCAGTTGTGGCCAAATGAGAGTTTCTCAATCTTGGCTACACGTTAGAGTTGACTGGGATTGAATCATTGACCGATTAACTCACTCATTTCACCTCTCCTCGTCACCTGGAGTTTCTATTTTGTGACGTAATATATCAAATTCTTCTAATCCTTTAGACCTAAAATAGAAATAATATGGTACTTTGCTTAGTACAGTGGCTCTCAAAGTGTTGTTCCAGACATACTCACGTCAGAATCACCTAGAAACTTATTAGAAATGCAGGTCATTGGGCTCCACCCCAGAACTGTGAATCAGACTTTCTGGGGTTGAGACCCAATAGTCTGTGTTTTACCAAGTCCTTTCAGAGATTCAGATGAACTCTGAGCATCGAGAACCATAAGCATAGAGTTTTTATGTGAACGAGAGGTGGAGTACGCACATCTTAGCATGCGACCTGGCATTGTGAAAGTCCAGGAAGCACAATGCTCTAGAGATGGTATGGTTGACTGGATTTGGCTAGGAGCTAGACTTGGAAGCAGTTAGCTACTCTTCCAATTCTAAGACTTATTTATAAAGCACCCTAACCATTTCAAAGGCAAATCAGAACAACCAAAAGAATTCACCATCCTTTCATTGATCCCATCCTTCAATTCTTAGACTCTTCTTTTCTGAGGACCAAAGTCATGGTTTTAATATTATCCAAAAGCAATTCATTTAATGATGGAGATAAATGATGGAGATGGCTGCCTTGCCATGAACTACTGAATGACTGAAATGTCATGAAAAGTTACATATTCATAAACAGAGAAGGCCACTTCCCCCTTCACGCCAAAAGTGTTATTTTTAAAAAGACAAATAGAGAAAGGAGTTCAAGATGGAAGTTTCTGTTTCTCCAGTAGAATTTCTAGCAAAGACTATTAAAAAAGATTTCATACCATGAACCATGGACACATGTGTCTACTAACTCTGATTTTAGAGATTATATGCACTCTTTCAACAATCTAACTACTGCATGCTGTTCTTGTTGGTCAGAGATTTTTGGTATCCCGGAGTCTTTTTGCTACCTGCTGTGATTGTCAATTTCTAATGTGGATGTTTCTTACTCCTATTTCTCCTAATCTGTCCTGCAAATACTTTTAGAATAGTCTTTAGTAAATGGTATTGTAACAGGTATTCCTTCATTTCTCTGACATCCTTGGTGGATTCCGTGTATGCATGATAAAATTCAAACCCTTTGCCAGAGGTATAATACACTTACAAGCTTATTTTCATCGCACTCTAATTTTTATAACTCACTAGTATTATTTCACATGCTTATGTTTTTGTTATGCTGTGATTTGCTGTTTATTCTCAATGGCCTGATGCTTTTGAACTCTATGCCTGTGATCCCTTGTCTGTCTCCAAGAGTAGATTTGCTCCCTCCATCATAATGTTTCAGGGCAATTATATGGTCCAGTACAACCTCCCTTGTACCCCCACCTGGACATACAGTTTATTTTAATTTCTGGAAGTTTGTTTGTACATTTTCATAAATTTCACCTTGTATTTTCCTTACTTGGATATGCATTTTTTCCTCCTCTATTTGATTGCAAATTTATTGAGGGTGAGCACCAAGTCTTACATAATTCACTAACCCCATCCTCCACCCCAAGCTGATTCCCTGCTTTTAGTTAATGTATTTGACCCCTCTTGACTAGCTTTTATGCCACTTTTAAATATCAAATCTGTGCTTTTTCTTCTGAAAGTTAAGGCTACTAATTAAACTGAGGAGAACTAAGATAGGGAGTAATTACTATACAAGGCAAAAAATTACATGTCAAAGCCAATTAGAGGGGGCTAAAATGCCAGCAAATACACCTTTTTTAAAAGTTCTGCAAAGCCCTGTCCCTGTTAACTTCGAGTTTGCATTTCCTTTCTCCAGGCGATGTTCTTCCACCCCCACCTCCACCTCTGGATGACCCCGGTGCCCTTCCACCGGGCTCTGGAAACTTCCCTCCTCCACCACCTCTTGATGAAGGCGGTTTCAAAGTGCAGGTAAGAGCTGTGGTCTGTAAGCCATGCTAGGAAGCTCACAAATTTAGAGACCTTTCTCTGGTGGGTAAGCATTCATTCATCCAGAGCCTGAATGGAGCTTCACAACTTACAGAGAACTAAGGCACTTTAGGGCAAAATGCCCAACTCAAGCTTCTCAGAGTTTGGCTGGCTTAACTCTCTGAAGCTCTGGAAATCCTTTTACCTACTAATCTTGTTTTCAAATCCAAAGCCATTTTTTTTTTTTAGGAATGCCATTTGAGAAGTCCACATTTTGTTGTTATCCTGAGGGAACACACAATATTGTCTTTGCTCTCTGTGTACCAATTTTGGGTTCTACGTGAGTGTGGCTGACATTTTAAGGCTCTGGTTGGTCACTGTACGTCCTATTGGTCAGAAACATTTTTCTAGCAAAGCAACATCAAAAATCCTTAGGGCTTTCTATTCAGGGTAGTTTAAAGGATGCATATTATAGACATATACCAATTAAATAAGTCATTTATGTTTTAGAGATTGGTGATTGTAGAGTAACTCAGGGCTAATGTTAGAAGAGAAATTAGAAGTAATTCTCAGACTATACTTGTAGGTGACTGGTAACCAGCGGCCACCTTTTAGGCTGAAGAACTCCTACATGTCAGTAAAAAAAACTAATAAAGTCGTAGAATTATTGTTACAATTTTAGGTGTGATTATGTCAGTATAGACATATTAAAGAAAAGAAATGGTTTTTCTTCTTCCTTTTAGAAATACAAAAGTATTTGTGGATAAAATGGAATGATGTCTGGTATTTATTGAAAAATAATAAGACTAGAGAACTACTGAGTGAGGACGTAAGTGAAAGGAGATTAGTAATGAGTTGGTGGTGCGTGGAGGTTTGTTCTAAGGCATAGGAAATAACTTAAGTAATTCAGTCTATCATCTAAATTTCTTTCTCCTAAATTTTGGGTTGGAGAAGGTAATGGAAGAAATGATTAATTCATTCAACAAATACTATGCACTCTGTGTTCGTATGTGGGTATTATTTGAGCACCAGGAATTTTATAGCAAAAAGACAAACCCAGCTCTGTTCTCATGGAACAAATAAGTTAGTGGAACTAGGGGAAGTAAACGAAATATATACATTACAATGTACACTAGAATTCATGCGTGCTGTGGCTGAGGAAACAGGGAAGGGGATGTGTCTTGTCTAGAGCAAGCAGGGATAATAGTGCTTCCCTGAGAAAGTGACACTTAAAACAGAGATTGATGGAGAGGAGAGAATGGTCATGTGGTCTTCTTCTGGGGAGTATATTTCCATGTAGTAAAGAGAAGAAGCTTTTTATATCTTGAAATTAGTAAGTTCAAGTTTTAACTAATCCATTGCAATTCAGTTTAGAGTCTAGCTCTTTAAAGCCTATTAACTTTTTCTTTTTGCCTTTCATATATATATCACAAATTGTCTGGAGTTTTATTTTACCATAGGCTAACAAAATCAAAGATCAGATGCCAGTAATGAACATGAGCACTACAAAGTTTATGTTTATTTTATGCAACAGATAGAATCCTGAGCAAGTAAAAATGTGATAGATTTTTCTTCTTTTCAGTCATTTTAAAAGTTTTTTTTTTTAAGGTTTATTTTAGAATATTATGGAGGTACACATGTTTTGGTTACATAATTTGCATTTGTACAGATTGAGTGAAATTTATAAGTGTGTTCTTCACCCAGATAGTGTACATTGTACTTGTTAGGTGTGAACTTGCCCATCTCCTCCTGCCCCCTCCCACCTGCTTGATTTTCGTTGGATTTTATTTCCGTATGTGCATGTAAGTGTTGATCGATTAGTTCCAATTTAGTATTGGGAGCACGTGGGGTTTGTTTTTCCATTCTTGTGATACTTCACATAGAAAAATGGTCTCCAGTTCCATCCAGGTTGTTACAAAAGATACTAGATTTCTTTGTGTGTGTGTGTGTGGGGGGGGGCGGCTGAGTAGTAATACTCCATGGTATACATGTACCTCATTTTATGAATCCACTCATGTATTTATTGGTGGGCACTGGGGTTGATGCCACATCTTCGTGATTATGAATTGTGCTGCTATAAACATTCAAGTACAAGGGTCTTTAAAAAAAGATATATATATTTTTTCTTTTAGTAAATACCTAATAATGGGATTGGTGGATGAAATGGTCAGTCTGCTTTTAGTTCTTTGAGGTAACTCCATACTACTCTCCATAAAGGGTGTATTAGTTTGCAGTTCCACCAACAGCGTTCCTTTCTCTCCGTATCCCTGCTGGCACCTGTTGCTTTGGGACTTTGTGATAAGAGCCATTCTTTGGAGTTAGGTGATATCTCATTGTGGTTTGGGTTTGCATTTCCTTAATGGTTAGAAGTGTTGAGCATTTTTTCATTTGTTTGTTGGCCATCAGTCTATCTTCATTTGAACGGTTTCTGTTTATGTCTTTTGCCCACTTTTTAATGGGGACTGTTTGATTTTTTTCTTGGTGATGTGCGAGAGATCTTTGTAGATTCTCATTATCAGCCCTTTATTGAATGTATAGCATGCGAATATCGTCTCCTATTCAGTAGGTTTTCTGTTTGTTCTGTTGATTGCTTCTTTGGCTGTGCAGAAGCTTTTCAATTTGATCAGGTCCCATTTATTTGCTTTTGTTATTACTGTAATTGCTTCTGGGGTCTTTTTCATAAATTCTTTACCTAGGCCAATGTCTGTAAGGGTTTTTTCAAAAATTTTCGTCTAGAATTCTTACAGTTTACTATCTTTGATTTAAGTTGGTTATCCATCGTGAACTGATTTTTGTGAGTGATGAGAAGTATGGATCCTTTTTCAGGTTTCTACCTATGCCTATCCAATTTTCCCAGCACCATTTACTGAATGGGGATTCTTTTCCACAATGTCTGTTTTTGTCTGCTTTGTCAAAGGTCAGATGGAAATATGAGCATGGTTTTCATACTTGAGTTCTCTGTTCTGACCCATAGGTCTTCACCTTTGTTTTTGTGCCAGTCCCATGCTGTTTTGTGCTATAGCTGCGAGTCTGGTATAGAGTGACGCCTCCCAATTTGCTTTGAATTTGTAAGGTTGCTGCTTGTATCCTCCGCAGCTTCCTTCCTTAGTGTTTTGTACCTCTCCCTGTGGAGGCCTTTCTGCTACTTAATGAAATGTATTCCTAGGTATTTTATTCTCTCTGCTGCTATTGTGAAAAGTATTGAGTCTTTGCTTGATTTCTTGGTTTGAGGACTGCACTGTCATGGATCATGTCTATACTTGGTTTTTAGTGATTATTAATAACATTTTTTATAAATCCTTAGAGTTTGCTTTTTAAATAACTTTGCTCTTATTTTGTTGAGGTTGGTATTTTGTTATGTTGTTTAATATGCATGACTAAAAAATTCACTTACTGTATTTCCTCTCTTGGATTGTTGTGGAAGCTATTTAGTTGCATTTTAAATCTTGAATTCTCCAAAGGTTGTTTGAACCGGTTACAGAAGACTTGTGTTTGAAAGCTGGGTACACAGCTTATTCTAGATGTGTGATCGTGTGCAAACCACACTGTCTGGTGCCAGGTTCCTCATAGTTAAAAGCCAGGTAAACATCCCAAGTTCTTTTTTTTTTTTTTTTTTTTTGAGATACAGTCTTGCTGTGCCACCCAGGCTAGAGTGCTTTGGCATTGTAGTTCACAGCATCCTCAAATGCTTAAATCAAACGATCCTCCTGCCTCAGCTTCCCCAGTAGCTGGGATGACAGGTGTCCACCATGCCCAGCTAGTAGAGATGGGCTCTTGCTCTTATTCAGGCTGGTCACCAACTCCTGAACTCAAGGGATCCACTTGCCTGGGCCTCCCAGAGTGCTAGGATTACAGGTGTGAGTCACCACACCTGGCCGATACTACTTAACAATTCAATGAAATACAGATGAATTTGAAAGAGTAAACTGAAATGGCTATACAGATATTTTGATTTGTAGTAGGTATTACTATGTAAGAACACTAATAAGGCTTTGCCAGTAGGTTTCATTAAAAAAAAATGGGGTTTTCTTTTTCTGTGTGGACCTTGTTCTGGCAAATGTACTGAAGCCCATGGCTTTGTTTTTGAGGAGAAAGGAACTAAACAAGTACAGCTTGTTGCCATGTTGTTCCCTGTAAGACAGAAGAGAGGGGGATAGAAAGTAAAGTTTGCCAAATGCAAATGGAGAAATCTGGTAGGAAGCGACATGTTATTTTTGAGGTTCTTTATGTGGTCTTGGTGAGTTCAAAAGAAACCAGACATGGCCTTTGCTTGTGTGTGAGCAGCTGGCCTGTGACTGTGGCGTGGCCCTGCTCTGGCCATATTTTCATACCGTTAGATATGAGCTTACCGTAGCCTAAAGTAGTATGATCACTGCAGGAACTTTTTTTTATTGAGGCAGAGTCTCACTTTGTCACCATCAGTGGAGTGTCTGGGCATTATAGCTCACAGCATCCTCAAACTCTTGGGCTGAAGCAATCATCTTACTTTAGCCTCTCAACTCAAGTAGCTGAAACTTTAGGTGCCTGTCACAGTGCATGGCTATTTTTAGAGACGGGGTCTTGCTCTGACTCAGGCTGGTCTGGAACTCGTGAGCTCAAGCATTCTTCCCACCTCTGACTCTCAGACTGCTAGGATTACAGGCATGATCCACCGCACCCAGCCTCCCTGCAGAAAACTTTGCTCTTTTCCCTTTCAGCCATGATGCCATGTTGCCATGGCCAAATTATAGCTGATAAATATGTGTATTTATGTAGTTATTTGTTTATATTTCCAGCTGAATTTTCAGGTCAGGGCCAAAAGAATGTGTACTAAGTGTGACTGTAAGAATTCTAAGATTTTTGGATCTGAGAGGGACCTCGGAGATCCTTTAGTCCCACCCTGAAGCCAGGCATCTCCTTGCAGCCTTTGTGAGTATATGCTGAATGAATTAATTCCTTTTTATTGGAAATTGGGAAACTGAGACCGAAGGAATTATAGATCCTGTAGTTTTAGAAGTCCTAAT